GAGGATAATTCTTGCCATGAACAATAAACCAGGCATGTTTCTCTCTTACCTTAGATAAAAGAGTGACTTTTCATCTGAGAGTATCTGTATACACACGTGCGTGCATAGTGTGCTAAAAAACTTTTCTTCCTTTCCATCGTTCTTATTTCACCTATTAAGTCTCACTTAAAGAAAAAAACCCTCAAAGATGATTAACAAGATGTATCCTGCAGATGTAGAGACAACACACTTGCAGCAAGCCTCATGTGTTTTGTTATGATCTATCTGCAAGTATGTCCCTACAGGGCTGAGATCTCATTCCTAGTACGTGCAGTAGCCCCAGTGTGCAGTGACGTATAACTTTCTGCCATAAACCTGCTGGTGAGTGCCATAGGCAGAAATGAACTCCTGCCTTTCTAATCCTACATTTAGATCCAGGTGCAGGATCAGGACTTGAAATGTTCCCAGTGTCCACTGATTTGTCTTCTCCAGCCTGCTGATCACCATGGGTTCAAGCTCTGCTAAGATTGGTGTGAGATACTTTTGCTGTGATGACCTTCAGCTTGAATGCTATTACATACACGCTTATAAGCCCTAGGTCATTTTTGTGCCTTTGTGTTTAGTTTCTCCTCTAAGAGATCATTTAAAAAATATAGTCTCCTGGATCTCTGAAGGAGGGAACTCACAGTGTCGTTCAATACTAAGCTGACCATCACAGCTAGGAAATCTCTTCCATGGGGCTGGGGGAACTGTTAGAAAGCATGCAGAATGGCTTCTCATCCTCTAGCAAGGGGCAATTTTTTCCTCTCTCTCCTATTGTTTGGTTCTTTTGTGTGATGTGTTTGTAGGAGTAGTGGCATTAGTAATATCTAAAAGCAAGATCTCTAAAATTGCCCCCCCCCAAGCAGTTTCCTGCCTGTCTCCCAAGACGTGCTCCAGTCTATGAGACAGCACGATGGTGTTTGTTTCAGTGTGGCTGCCCTTTGGGGATTTGCAGGAATACTGCAGCAAATCATCCTGCATGCAAGGCTGACCTCTGGGAGGCTAACAAATTAAGGTGAGCCAGCTGGAGCAATAGGACACTGCCGACAGACAGAGCATGCTCAGACCTAGGGGAGAAAGGTAGCTCAGTCTGCAGATGGTGCATGGGTTACTGTTCTGAGAGCTGTTAGATACGGTATTTTTTTCTTATGATGGTGGGGAAAGAAGAGGACTGGAGAGAGTGTTCGTTCCCCGGAAAACCATAGCTTTAAGGTGTCTTTTGTTTTATTTCTTTTTTCCCTGTGAAAGAGAGGCTCTGGATAGCATTTCCTTTTATTTAGCAATACCAGGTATGCGTGCATGTGCTGAAACACTAATCTACTAGTGGTAGTACTTCCAAGATTAAAAAGGTTGCAGATATTCTGAATTAATGTGTTTGGGTGCTAATGTAACTGTGCTCTGTTTGCTGTGCTGATCACATAACGGCTCTGAATTCAGTTTTGGAGGCTCTCCTGGCTGCAGCGTACTTCTTGGGTTTTTTAGCATGCTTTCTGACTGTTTCTTTCTCTTGCCTGCCCCCTCCCCCCTCCTCCAACACACACTTCACGCTGAATCTTTCTTCTGTGGCTGTGCATGCGTGGGAAGGAGGGGGAAGGAGGTTAGTAGTTCATTTATAATCCCAGGTCTTCGTAGTCTCTCTGTGTCTGGCTGTTGGTTTGTTTTATCATTTTTAAACAAAAGTCTCACGTGGAAAACATCCTTGATCTGGACTAAATTCTGTGGGGTTTCAGAACTATGTTTCTTACTGGACAGTTGCTGGTTTGGGTTTTTTTGTTTTGGTTTGGGTTGTTGGTTTTTTTTTTCTTTAACCCTTCCTTAAAAACATGATAATGTAGAGCTTGTGGTAACCAAGGAGGGATTTGCACTATTTTTATTGGCTGCACTGTGCTCTGAATGTTTTCGGCTCCTGCTTAGAATTTCTAGCACACAGAAACAGCTTCCAACAGCCTGCTGAAAGGAAATGGGAAAAGCTCAGGCTGTAAATGCTACTAAGTACCAGTCCCGATATCCAAATAATACAGGCACTCTCCTGAGAAGAAGGAGAGAAAGGATATGGAGAATACAGAGAAATAACAAATTACAGCTGAAGCCCAAAGGCATAGTTGGAGTGGGTGAACCTCACTGTCTTTGATATTTTCTGGATTTCACATCATATTCTTTTAAAATCACTTTTGCAGAATTAGTAAATTTTTCCTCCCACCCCTACTCCATCTTTGCTCTAGGCAGAACACTGAAACAAGCAACATAACTGCTGCTGTCTGCCACAGGTTTTCATTCTTTGTTCAAGACATGCAAAAGGTGGCTTGCTTACAGACAAAAAGCAAGAGACCAGGGAAGACAGAGGGGTTTTTAGGTTCTTACTGATATGACCAATGCTATTAATAACAACATAATCTAATAGGTTTTGGTGGGAGACGCAGATGAGGTCAGATCAGCGGGAATGAACTCTGTATCTATTAAGTTTCTACTCTGTCCAGCCATGGTTCCTCACCCCAAGTACCTTGAATTTTCATCTCTAGGTGTGGGACTGTCAGAAGTTGAAGGTTTGGCTGCTGAGAGAAATATTCTCAATTTTTTTCTTTAGCTTATTTTTCTTAAGTCGCCTACCTTAAGCCTGTTTATCTTCGTCAGAAATATATCTTATTTAGGGGAATTTTCTAAATATCAGGGTTAGTTTTTGTTTGGGGAAAGGGTTCGGTACTCCATGTCGTTCTAGATGGAGAGGAGGTCTTAGAAATATGAACCTTAAGAGCCCAGGAAGAACTCTCTTTCATCTCATGCCTTTAACCCTATTTTGTGGTTTAATTATTTGTTCTGATTGCTTAGTATTGGAATTTGTTATTTTTTTAAATTATTCTTTTGTAGATTAAGACAGAAGTATCAACAAATATCAAATTAAAGGATTCTGAAGGTAGGGTTGGATCTCTTCCTATCCTCGCTCTTAATGACTGAAATTAACAAACTGAGTGGGAGAAAAGTAGGTTTTCCATCCATAAGTGCAACCAGTAGTTAGGTTTCAAGGTGCTACTAATATTTTTCTTTTTCCATAAGGTATGTTTACAGTAGGGACCATTGCACAGAGTGTGTCGTCTTATTTGCAGTCTCATATAGCAAGCCTTATAGTATTTATTGCTTTCTACTCCAGTCTTATGCTAAACCTTAAAAAATAAAGATAAACCTACTTTTGATTATAAATGCCTATAGATACCCAAGGATTTTGTAAAACAGTTTTTAAAACTTGTTTCATAGTACATTTTGATTTTATTTTTTCCAAATAAAGTCCTATGTTTAAGATTCCATTTGAGACTGTAGAATTAAGGTATCCTCCTTTTTCTCATATTCCTTTTTTATATTAGGTGTCATTAATGGTATTTGTTGCTTTTTACTCCTGGGTTTGTTCCCTTCAAGAATCTATTCTTTTTCCTGTTTAAAAAGTCTACACTTCTACACTTGGCTGCTTTTTATGAAGAAAATGTTCCAGTATATCAGTCATTCAGTGTGTCATTCTTTCTTTCATGTGATAGGTACTGTGAAAGGTATATGTATCTCATTAAACAAATACAGTGAGTAAGATGATAACGGCCTTCTGGGCTGGGGGATTGACTTGCTTGCAGTCCTGCAGGAAATCTGTGACAGAAATGAGAATAAAAGCCAGAATTCTTGACTGTCAAGTCCTAGCCACCTCCCACCCCTTCCAACCAGGAAAGTTGCCTTCTAGCAACCTCTGCTGTGAGTATGAATGAAGTAGGTATTTAAAACTTCTGAGTGTATTACATGTACTGTATCCTTAGCTAAGCCTTTTGAATCAGGGACGGGAGAAAAGATGACATTTTGCAGGGGGGGATATAAAATGTCATATTTGTGCTGGGCTGGCTTTCTAAGACTGGCATAGGAGGGTAAGGTGTACACTCTTGCACAGGTTGGCAGTGCCATTATGTCCCAGGCTAGGACTGGTTGCACGCTGGGTCCTTGAATCCGTACTCCAGCCTTCTGGCTTCTGCCTGCCTTCCTGGCACTAGCCTGAGGCCAGCACTGTGCCTGGGCCAGTCAGCTCTGCTGGAGCACGGGGAAGGCAGTACAGGGACCTGGGAGTGTCTTTGAAGGAGCAGAGCTGGCCAGGACTGGCAGACTCTGTGCTGGAGCTCATAAACTGGGCCAAACCTAAGCTGGCCTCTGCGCAGTAGTATTTCTCTTTGTGCAGAGTGTCGGATGGTTTTTGGGAGTATGTGTCCTTTGGGCTTTTTTCCATTTTATGAGGTATCTTGGCTTCCAGTTGCCCAGGAAGACAGAGCACTGACTTGGAAAGTGCTTGGGTAGCTGATAACAAAAGCTTGGGAAGGCCTAAGTAGATGTGGATGGCACTTCTCATTTTGTTATATCCCCAAGGACTAAAAGGTTCCCTATTAGACATACTATTTTCATGGTGACCGTGTTCTCCCTAATCAAGCTCTTGCAAAGCCTGTTGTATTTCTCTGTAGGGCTTTGTACTGTGTGTGTATCTGCTTTGCTTTTTGTTGTGTTGGATCTTGTAGCTTTCTCCCAATTTCTTACTTAGATTATAACCTTTTTAAAATAGAGAAGCACTTTAAAAAATTGTCCATCATATTAATAGCTCTGTAGTAATGATTCACCCTACCCTAGCTTCATAATTAGAAAAAGAACAACAACAAAACTCATCTCTTAAATGAATCCCAGTGGTCCTTTGTGCAGACTGCCTAGTAGTATAGGTTCATCTCCCCCATCCCACGCACTTTGATCTCCTCTGCCTGTTAATAAGAGATGAAGAACAGCTTCTCTATTTCTGTTTGCCGTTGCTTTTCTGCTTCCTAAGGGTGTTTACAACATCAAGTGAGCAGCAGTTAGCAGGAAAAGGTACTGTGATAGCCAATTTCCATGAGCTAAGAACTTGCAGGATACTCTTTAAGTTTCAGCTGGGGTGCGCTCTGAACACACCAGGCGTGTGCTGCTGAAGGCTTTACCTGCTCACCAGGCATCAGAGAGGCAGTGGCTGGTCTGGGAGGAGGAACCAGTGACCCTTTTGCTGAGTGAGTGAAGGATGGAGGAAGAGACTCAATCCTACAGCCTCAGCCTCTGCAGTGGCAGCTGTTGTGACCGAGCTGCACCTCTTGTTTCCCTTGCAAAGTTTTGAGCTACCCCTACCCTGATGTGTATGTCGAACTCCCTATGTTTGGCCATGCAGTGAGTGCTGCAAGGCAGCTGCCCTGCTGCCCTGTCAGCATCGCTGCCGGGGAAATCTGCCTGTTGTGGCTCACCCTCGCTCCCGCTCCTCCCCAGCAGCCTGCCTGTGCCAGGAGTCATCGAGGGAGCGTCGCCTCCACGAGGCAGCGTTGCCCCCTACCAGCCTGGCAGCAAGCTGCTCTGTGCCGCTTTTATGTGCGCGTCCCTTCCCTCTAGGCTCTAGTCTATCAGCTGGCGCTTCTACTGTTGCTGAAGGATGGTGCTTTAGCATTTCAAAGCACGGTGTAAAAAAATGTCAGTCCGTGTGGCTTGGTAACTGGGACGTGGTGCTCCCATGGAGCAAAGCCAGGGTCATCCTGGTGTCACTGGGAAGTGAGAGGGTAGATGAGTGTGGTAGGGATGGGGGAGCTCTCTGGGCAACTAGGGGTGTGAATGGCTCAGCTGCTGACCCATATATAGTAAGAAATATAGCATGGAGGACTCTGAATTTACAGCACATAGCAGTGTGTCTGGCCTGTCACTTTTCCAAGTTTTTTCAGTTCTTAAAATGTCTTATGATGGCAGTGTAGAAAGAGATTGGCAGCTCTAGACCCATTTTGTGAGGGAGGAAGACAGAGGGAGGTTTAATAACAAAGTTTTCTTTTAACTGTGAAGCAGCTCTTTTAGGTGGAAGTCTAAATGCTTTCACCTATTTCAGAGTTACCTGCTGCCTCCTGGGTAAGTTTTCCTATCCCAGGAACACTGCTACTGACAGCACTTAATGACTGATCTCAGATGGTGGGAATGAGGAACCAGGGGACATGGAGAGTGATGGCTTCCCTTTACCCACTTGATGCAGCCTCTCCTGGGTATGTAAAGCAAACCGGTGGGACAGTTTGTTGCTATTTATGTTTTGTCACTCCTTGGAGGTTCAAAGACTTTAATTCTCTAAGGATTGTGTTCCTTGCAAACATCAAAAAAAAAAAAAAAAGAATGATAAAATGTGGTGAAAATGGGCAAAGACACAAGACTACTACCCAAGTATGTGTGAAACTCTCTTTTTGGTTTTGCCTGCAATGCTGCATTCCTGTCCATTTTCCGATATTCACTTCCATTAAGCAGCTTTAAGCCCAAACAGCATGAACCAGGATTTATGAATTGGCCACTAGGAGCAGGAATGAAGATGGATTCCTTTTGAATTACTGGCTTTTAACATTCATTCCTGACACTTGGTTCGCTAAAGCACATGCACTTACTTCAGCTAAGTGAAAGGAAGTGAAAGAGCTGCAGTGAGGAAAGAGATGGAGGAGTCTTACAGGTGATTTGTTGTTCATTAGCAATTTAACAGGTATTGCCGTAGCAGAGCTGGAAATGAAAATTGCTAACCTCTGAACAATAGCTACATCCATCAGGGCTGCACCTGAGAAATGGGGCTGGTGCTCTCTCTCTAAAGTGACTATTACACCCTTCTCTCGGGAGTGGAGGGGAGAGAACGTGTCAGTTAGGGTGAAACATTAGAGTTGGCTATTTTCCAAGGGGGGCCCATATGACTGAAGGGATTTGTGATGGTCTATGGAACACTCCACCCATGCACCCATGAAATGCAGGTGCTATCAGTGGTATTTAAGGACTGCTGGCCTCTAATGCTTTCAAAACACCTCCCCACATCCCCATACTGATATAGTGAAAAGGCCAGATGGTTTTACCCCTTTGAGTTCTTGCAAATCCCATTGACTCAGCTGGACTTGTAGGTGCTTGGTTCTTCTGAAGTACAGTAGTTAACTTTTCCTCATTCCCTCAGACTGGCCTTCATTTGGAGTGTGTGCGCATGGGAGTGTTGGTTATATGTCTCCATTACGTACTGCCTAGTGTGTTTTGCGCCTAGTGTGTTTTGTGGTTGTTTGGACTCTTGTCCTTTCCTTTGTGATGCTGCTGTAGCCGTTTAAAGCAGTGCTCACAGGATCAGAGGTCTGCAGTAGAGGACAGGCTATTTGGAGAATTGGATGATATTGTTAGATGTCTTTCAAAGGTAATGAAGTAGAAAAACGAAGCTTTGAAAATCTGGTATCAACAAAATAATTTAGGATATATCCCCATCAAAAATCCAAATCATAAGGTAGTTTTCTTCCCAGAATGCTGTGGTTTAATTGCAGCAGCTGAGCCGAAGAGCCCACCAAGTGATGTTGCTATTGTCCCCAGTTGTTTTCTAGTCATGGTTGACCATAGAATAGCCATGGTTGGGAGTCGCAAAAATATTGGAGCAGCAGTCATCCCTTATCCTGCAGAAGGAAGGATTGAGAGTTGATGTGACAGCCATCATTCATCTCTGCAGGGTTTCTAGAGTGCCTAGGTCAAGAACAGGTTTAATTTGCTGCAGAGGAGACGAAGGCTGGGTGTTAGAGAGAAATTTATCCTAGTACGCTACGGTTTTGTTGCCAGAAACTGGCTGAAGAGATTGACAAATGTTAAGAATGAGATAGATAAACATCATCTGGGAGTGGTTTAGGGAGAGCTGATTCTGCCCTGGTAATTAGGATCCACTCTCGGTCCCTTCCTACCTCCTTTTTCTATTTATGAAGTCAAAATAATCCCTTTTTAATTTCCCTTTTGCTTTTAGGGAGCTGCTAAATGAGGCAGTTTTTCAGACTGCTTGCCAAAGGAGGTGGACTTCATTTCTGTTCCCATTAAAGCTGCTCCGAAATTGAAATGAATTTGTTGTTCAGATCCCTAAAGACGGCCTCTTGAATGCGTGTGGCTTGCAACCAGGACTCAGTTCTATGGCATTAATCAGTTTCCCAGGTACCTGCACTCCTATCAGATGCTGATCCTACAAGCTTTTGACTTCATTAAATTCCATGGTGGCTTTCCATTCAATTCCAAGCTATGTGGACCAGCTTGCAGGATCAAGTTGTAAAACTGCACTATCTCTTTTCAGAAGAACTCCCTTGACAGAAGAGAAGGTGTTTGCATTTGTCCTAAATCTGCCCTGTTTTCCTCCTCCACTTTGGCTTATAAGAACCAGTGTTTCTGGGTTAAAATGCAAAAGGATCCATTGCTTGAGCTGTCAGAGCATGTGCTTGAGACATTGCTGGATTTCACTCCCCCCAAAATTGCATCCAAAGGAGTTTAAATTGCTACCTCTAAAAAGTGCAATTAGAAATAGTCTAATTGGGTATATACCAATCTGAAATTTCCCTTCCAATAGCTTCCCATGAGTCATGGATGCAATTATTTCCAGCCTGGCTAACAGTGAACCTTGATACATAATGCAAATTGGAGCCCATAAACGCTGTAGGTGAGTCAATATCTCAGCTGAAGTTCACAGTGGAAAGTAGAATCAATACTCTGATATAAACCTGTAGTGTTTCTGCCTGGAAAGAAAACGGTGGCAGGACCTCTCCCGTAACAGAAAAAGGAACAGGGAGGCTTTGGAGCAGCACGAGAGGCTCTCAAGTTGGAATGGGAAGAAATCAATGCTGGAAACACTTGAAGTGTATTTTCTTCACATTTGTACAAGGGTTGGCTGTGCTGGTGCAAGTCAGACTAATGAAGCATTCGTTCCCTGTGTAAAAAGTGGAGCTATCTTCTCTCCCATATAGCTCTTTCCTCTGGAAGATGATGGAAGCTCCCAGCCTTTGCTCCTGGATTCCAGCCAAGAAAATGGCTGAGGGGCTTGTGAATCTCCTAAAGGACTGTCCATAGACCCACAAAATCCTCCTAAATTAATAAATTACCATTGAGTAATTTACTCTTCATATTGGAATGGAGCATATCAAAAATCTGTACTTGACAATGTTCCTTGTGTTATTATCCTCCCAGTGAGGGCAAGAGGCAGAGTTGGTTACACACAGCTGTGCAAAAGGCCTACTGCAGATCAAGAAAGGGAGTTAGGTCTCCCAAGTCCTGTGTGAGTGGCCCAGTGATTCTAGGGCTGTCTTTCCTCTTGCTGCTGGACTGATCCGCAAAAAGTGGAGTGAGCCAGAGTCCTACTGAGGATAGCAGGTTTTCTAACAAAGCCTCACAGAGCTCGTCCTCAAACTCATTTATTTTTCCTTCTCCCAAAGGGCAGAAATGAAAATGAGAGAGGCAGACTTTCTGTAGAGCAGCTCACAGTTCTGTTTGCTCTATTTTTTTTTTTTTTTTTTTTTTACAATTTTGGCTAGTGCTTTAGCATTCTCTCTTCCTGGTTCCCTAGCAGGGGAAAAAAAGTGTAAACTCTCTTGAACACGCCATAAAATATGATATAGGGTGTGGCTGTAAACATGATGTTTAAATGGTTCCTTTTTTGTTTTATTTTCCACAGGTCTTTGCCTTTGCCATGTCAAGGAGTCTTAATGATGTATTCCCTCTCCTTTGCGTTCCCCACCTGTCATCTTGCTAGGATCTAACTACAGAATGAACATAGCAGCGGTGTTTAATGCCCTGCTCGTGTCTGTCCTCGCTGCTGTGCTATGGAAATACATTAAACTGCGAGAGCATGTCTTTGTGGTTGAAGAGGAACTGGTCCTCACACGTCAATCTCAGGAACTCTCTCAGGTTCAGATTGACTACAATGCAGCTCTCCAGACACTGGTGGAGGACGGTACCAGGATGGTGTGTACCGGCAGGATGCACACGGACCGCATCTGCCGCTTCAGGTCCCTCTGCTACTCTACTGAGGCAGAGGAGTTTATCTACTTTCACAGCAACTCTTCAGTCATGCTGCCCAACCTGGGCTCCCGCAGGTTCCAGCCGGCTCTGCTCGACCTCTCCTCGGTCGAAGATCATAACACCCAATACTTCAACTTTGTGGAGCTGCCAGCTGCTGCACTGAAATTTATGCCCAAGCCGGTCTTTGTGCCTGACGTGGCGCTCATCACTAACAGGTTCAACCCAGACAACTTGATGCACGTCTTTCATGATGACCTCCTTCCCATCTATTATACCATGCAGCAGTTCCCCGATTTGGATTTGGAGGCACGGCTCTTCTTCATGGAAGGGTGGAGTGAAGGCGTTCACTTTGATCTTTACAAGTTGCTGAGTAACAAGCAGCCGCTTCTCAGGGAGCAGCTTAAAACCTTGGGCAGGCTTATCTGCTTTACGAAATCGTATGTGGGACTGTCCAAAATTACCACTTGGTATCAGTATGGATTTGTCCAGCCACAAGGGCCAAAGGCTAACATCTTGGTTTCTGGTAACGAGATCAGGCAGTTCACCAAGTTCATGATGGGGAAGCTGAACATCAGTTTGGAGGAAAGCTCCAGTGAGGAGTACATCATAGTGTTCAGTCGAACGATCAACAGACTTATCCTAAATGAGGCAGAACTAATCCTGGCACTAGCCCAGGAGTTTCAAATGAAAACCATTACTGTCTCTCTGGAGGAACATTCATTTTCTGACATCGTCCGGCTGATCAGTAATGCGTCCATGCTGGTCAGCATGCATGGGGCCCAATTAGTGATGTCTCTCTTCCTGCCAAGAGGTGCCACGGTGGTGGAGCTCTTTCCTTATGCTATCAACCCTGAACACTATACCCCTTACAAAACCCTGGCAACCCTTCCTGGCATGGACCTGCAGTACATTGCCTGGCAGAACACCGACAGGGAAGACACTGTTACCTACCCAGACAGACCATGGGATCAGGGCGGGATTGCTCATCTGGACAAAGCTGAGCAGGAGCGCATCATTAAGAATACAGAGGTGCCGCGACACCTCTGCTGCCGCAACCCCGAATGGCTCTTCCGTGCCTACCAGGACACAAAGGTGAACATCCCTTCTCTCATTCATGTGATCAGGCAGACTGTGAAGTCTAAGCCTGGGCCCAAGAAACAGAAGTGGTCCGGTGGCCTCTACCCTGGCAAGGTGAGGGATGCCAAGTGCCAAGCCTCTGTCCAGGGCACAAGCGAAGCTAAACTTGCCGTGTCCTGGCAGATCCCCTGGAACCTTAAGTATCTGAAGGTCAGAGAAGTGAAATATGAAGTGTGGATACAAGAGCAAGGGGAAAACACTTACATGCCTTATATATTGTCCCATCAGAATCACACCTTCTCAGAAAACATTAAGCCTTTCACAATATACCTGGTGTGGATACGCTGCATCTTCAACAAAAATCTCCTGGGACCTTTTGCAGATGTGCTCTTGTGTAGTACATAACCTGTTGCACTACCTGTACAGCTCTGCCCTGCTCTCCACTCCATCTGTGGTTTAAAACTTACTGTCTTGTAGTTTGTAGAGGGCTGAAGAGGACTAGAGTGTACCAGTGCCTAAGTGTCCATCTGATTGCATTTCATGTGTGTTCTTTAAATGGTATTTATTTTCAGTGAATGTTTAAAAAGCAAAAACAAAAATCCTGTTCTTCAGCGTAACTTGCAGAGGCTGTTACATGCTGAATACAAGTAATTGAAAACAGAATAGCAGTGAATTGTGTGTAGCTTGGTAGTGATTTGACTGTTTCTATTGTGTGGTGAGTATTTAAGTACAGCATTAAACTGCAATTAATTCCATGGCTAGGTGGGCAATTTTCATGAGCTTTTTTCATTGTAAGTTATTTTTTTCAATAACTCTTGTCTGTACCCTTTGAGTTAAAGATTTGGTACGAAAGCCTTCATTAAACTGCTGTAAACCTCCTCGAGTTTTTTTTTTTACTTTTTATTATCTGTCACAATAGTTACTGTGATAGCGTTATCCATTGCTGTGTTAAAATGTGTATGTGGGTAGCTTCTTATTTTTTGTATTTTGACTGAGAGAATGAGACTACAGTGTCAGTGCCATTTAAAATCAGATGTTACTGCACCCCAGTAGCAACACAGAAGACTAGAAGAGCAGATGAGAGGGAGTGGATAGCACAACTGACTGGTTTTAAGATCTGTTTTTTTGTGAGTTATGTTCAATTCTGTGGGAAAGGAAGGGGATTGGTCTGGGAAAGCTAATGGGGGAAGAGATTTGTCCATATACAAATCCTCTCAAAGAAAATCCTATTTTGAGTTTTGATCAGAATAATCTGTTGATAATGTCCGCTAACAGGTATGTGGCAGTTATATGGGAGGTGGTGCTGCAGGGAGGCTCTCTGATTTTGCTGGCTATTGGGGGGAGGTAATGGAGTTAGGCAGAGGGTAGTAACATGGGTGTCATGGTGTTGGGGTGAAGAGAGAACATGCTGGGGCCGGGCGGATGGCTCTTCCAGCTCTGTTAATCCAGTCAGAGGAATGCTTTGTTCTAAGCTTGTCCTTATGTTTCCTGAGATCAGAATCTGGCTCTCTTACTCCATCTATTTTTTATTACTAGGGTAATACTCTCTCCTTGTCAGAACCTGACCCTGACTTTTTGTGCTTCAGACTGAGACCCTACGTGACACTGTTTCTGAAACACAGCCCGGTGTCAAAAGCACAGGTCTTGCAGGAGAGGGGAAAGAAGGGGCAGAAGTGTGGAGATGTTTCATTGATAGAAGTTAGCATGTTCCATAGTTTATAACCAACATTAAAGCAACAGGGAATGTGCTTTCTCCTCTGCTCCCTCCCTATCCCCCACTGTCTTCACAAGGTCTGGATGGATATTTGAAAGGTGGAACGACTGACTTTCCTTCTGACTGATGGGCTGGTAGATGAGCATCCCAAGACAGGATTATAATATAAGTTGGAGGTGGGGAGGGGGGAAACAATGCTGTAAAAATTGGACAAGAAGCAAAAACACTGCAGTACAACGTACAACTTTTGACCTTTGGGCTAGTGCTCCTGTGAATGCATTTTAATTATGTCTTGTTTTATTTTCAAACAGGTTGTTTATGATTAAAACAAACAAGCTCGAAGTCTGTGTTTGCTTTGCTGTTGTAACCTAGCCAACTAACAGTTCTTGCTTTGATATTTCAAAGGGGTGCAAGAATACTCCCGTTGTTGTTTTTTAGGATAAGATGAGCTTCTTGTTGAAGTGAGGTGAATATCCAAGCTGTGTCCCATGTTCTCCGTTTGCCTGGACAAGACATGCCACATACTTCAAAGCTGAGGTGAGGGGACTTCATAGGCAGGAGACAGAAATATTCCTCGGGGTTCTTGCGAGACCGGGCTGTTTAGGATGGCCACCAGGACCTGTGGCTCTCCAGTACCTCACTGGCTGATTTGCTCCCACTCACAGCAGGATTTAGCAGTAACCTCACATCCCTGCTGCTCTGCTGCTTTTAAGCTGTGTTTAGTCCTGCAGCCACTGACTTGCCATCCTCATGCTGGTCTTTGCAGTAATAATTGGCCCCCTACAATGTCAGTATTAATAAGCCTTCAGAGGGCTGAAATTTAGTCGGTGTTCATTTTGCATCAATCTTCAGAAGTAATTTTCATTGGGCATGTGAGCGATCTGCCTTCTAACAACTAGCTGGTTACTGTGGGTGGGGTATTTGTGTGTGTTGCTTTTGTGCCCTTCTTTCTCAGTGCCTATTTAGCAATCCTTTGCCCATAATTTATAGAGTATCCCTTTTCACTTAAAATTAGATTCATATGATTGCTAATTTTCTAACATTTGCAGATTGGTTATAGCACATGAACTTTTTTTTAACGTGCTAATGATTCTAATCAACAAAATTGGCTGTAAAACAGTAAAATGCCATATATGTGGGTTTGCATTCTCTTAACTCTAGCATTAAATGGTTTCTTGCATTCAGAGACTCCCTTTTTCTAGAAGAAAATCAAATGTGCTTTCAAAGAATGTGTATTCAGGTTCTGCCTTCCTCATCAGTGCTATGAATGCTTTATAAGACAGCAACAAAATTAAAGGATTTTTCCATTCCCAGTTCTGAGAAGGCGGAACACAGAAAGCATGATAGTAATCTTGCAGTTTGCCTCCAGGACCTGCCCAATATAAAAATGTCTTTACCAGGGCCTCATTAGTTTACCCTGAATTCCTCCTCTTCTGGTGCACACTGAGAGTACGTGAACTGTTATAAACTGAGCATAGTAATGTTATGCTGATTTATATTATCTCAAGTTCTGTGCTGGAGTGTTAGCGTCTCTCGGTAATGGATTTTCTTTCTTTTTAATAACCTTGCCATCAGTGCTGTGCAGCTCCATTCCATTTTTCTCCCTGACTCCTCCCCTGTCCCGCAAGTGATTTGTTTCCTTTGCTTCACATTAATATCCTCTCACACAGCGTTCATCCTTTAAGTTTCAAGAAAACATGGTGGGACTTTTCTCTGTCAATGACACTTCTTAATTGATCAAAAGGCATCTTTGCGTGGCGTTGTCTAAAGTTTTGTCTTGTAACAAATGTAGGTTTTCCATGTACAGTAGCTATGGATGCATCTCTGACGTGCACCGGAAGGCAGCACCAGAACTGGGTTACCTCACTTCCAAAACAGCTTATCCATCAGGTAAGCTTAAGGGTCTCCTTTTAACAAGATGTATTGTGCAAGAGACTTGGACCTTCTACCATTGCATCATTTGTTTATGTGCCCAGAGCAAATACATTTAGCTCTGTGGTGCTGTCTGGCTGTGTTGTTCTGGAACAAGAGAAGTAGCTGGAATTATATCCAAAACACTCTCAAGGCAGGGCAGGATGCTAATAGCGAGCTGGGCCAGAACTCACCACTGTCAGGCTTCAGTGTGCTTACAGAGCACTTACAGAGACAGATCAGCTAAGAGGATTTTCTCTGGCTGTGATTTCCTGTCTCCTTTTAATTAGCTGAAGCACAGGGAGCATACAGTCCGTCAGCATCCAGCCTCCAAGGAAGGACTCCTTGCTTACTTACGTAAGGGCTTACTTGCATAAGAGGAGGAGAAAGAAGTGAATGGAGCATTTAGTAGCTTGCACGTGCAAGGTGTTGGAGCAGTAGCTTGCGGTTGTATGGTAATAAGATTACCCATGGGAGGGGATTTTCTAAAGCATGACAGTGGCTTTAATAGCATCAGAGCAATTCATGCAATACTGTCCTGTTCAGTTGCTTACACCCCTAATTCAGTCTCAAAAACTGTATCCAAGAGTAGGAGATTTTTGAAGAGGTTCACCTCTAATCGCGCCTGACTGTGTTTCTTGAGAAGGGCATGTTGTCTCAGGGGCTTTGGGGAGTTGACACTTACAGATGAAACTTGTCGTAAATGAACTGTTCTTTGCTCGAAATGGTGGAAAACTGGTTTCCCTGGAGATGTGGCCTGGGAAGAATGAGGAGCAGGTTAGAGTCGTACAAACTGAGGACTGAAAAGCAACTGAGTCAGACTGTCTGCAGAGAAATCAGGATTATTTAATAGTGGGAGGAACTTGTTCCAACCAACCCAACAGGTGCCATTTGGCATGATCACCTGTGGGAGCTCACAGCTGAGAAAACGTCTAGGGAACTTGTATGCCAGCTTCTGAGGAACCCAACGTGCTGGGAAACTATGCTAAATAAATGCTAGTTCTTCATACTTTTTTTATACATATGTTTTAATGAATTCCTTCTGAGATGGCCTGTGTCCTACCAAGCAGCATCCTCTAGGCGGTTTTTAAAACCTTGTTCCAGATAACTATTGGCTGTAAAACTGTCCCCTATGTGATGGAGAGTGATTTAGAGTTGCATAGCTTGAGACTGCTCCCTCAGCTGTGTACACCATGAAGACAGATCACTAAGCTATCAGTCAAGTGAGAGGCCACAGGGGTACTGGTCTCGTGTAACTGATCCTTTTGTGTCGGTGCCATCCAGATCCTCCTGAGAGGCTGCGATTCTCATTTTGTGTAGATGGCAAGCCTGCAGGACGCTTTGGCAGGATGTTGGCGGTAGGGGAGGATGGTGGTGGCAGCCAGCTGATGCTCCCTCCTACCCACAGCACGCAGTGTTACCCAGCCAGCAGTGCTCCAGTACTTGCAGAGCGTGCTTAGCTTAGCCTTTTAAAAACATACAGAACTGTAAACCTCATCCAGAACAGCTCATACCTACCATAAAATACTGGCTAGCTTTTGTTCAGCAAAATTAGTATGCTTTTTTTCTTAATTGGCCATATGAATTTCGCTGGGTTTCTTTTTTTTGGCTTCTTTCTTCTAACACACTGTCTGTGCATAGTAATGGTACGCAATGACATACTAGTTGCTATCCAGACTAGTAACACATTGGAAGCTTTACACCTCAGAAGGTGACTGGAGTTATTTAATTAAAATATTTCATTTTGTAGAGTTCAAATTGAGATTTTTTGCCTCTTCTTCCCCTCCCTGCCATGTATTTGGAAAGTTCATTTTCTGAGGAAACAATAATTCTTAAGAGAAAAATAGTTTTAGACTTCTAAGAGTTACTGTGGAGGAAAGGAGAAGATAGCTGAGAAAATATATTTACAGGCAAAATTTACCCATTTCTTAGGAAATTTAAATGAGAAATGTGTACACACAGTACATTTTTTTTTGAATTCATCGCCTCAATCTTTAACAGTCAAGTATGTTACTCAAAAGCAGTGTGCAGCCATGTTATGGCATGGGTATTGTAACTTCATTTCCAGTGACCTGTATTTTTATTTGATTTGTGCATGATCTGATGTTTTGGCCAGAATTTGAGGCAAAGTAATGTATATTTTGATGGAAAAGAAGGGCTTAAAGAGGCAGGACTGGTTGCAGTCCTTCTGTGAATGTGAAGGCTAGCAGCTGTACTATGACACAGACTGTGAGCATCCTACTAGGCAGTGTT